ATGTCACGTTCAAAAATAACGACCTAAAATTTCAGGAACAAATATAAATTATTTACTGTCTATTTGAGACCCTCGTGTCTGTCTTTTTGGATAAAAGCAAATGAAATTCAGTCGCGTTTACTTTACCTTAAGCATCGACAAATTAATTAGGTTCGTTAGTTTAGTCCCGAAGAGCGGAAGAAATGCTACTCAGATCTTGTGTTTATGAGAGGAATTTATCCTCATCAATTGAAAGTCCACTCGCTTGGTGGTTAATTTTGCTCAATAGCGGCCGAAGCGCGCCTCGCTGAGTGCACACAATCGTAAGTTGACATTTGAGAAGCGTCTTCGTTCCGTTTTCCATTTTTTTAAATTCATTTTATAAATCCATTTTTTTGTTTATCTTGTTCCTTGCGACGAAAGTGGGTCCGGATAATACCAGACTAAAATGAAATGAAAAGTAACAACAACCAAGAACGTGGGAAATAAAATACGACAAATTTATAAAAGTTAATCTTAGTGAAATCAAATTGTTTGTGTGCTGTGCTTATAGCAAACATCAATTTAGTAATGTATGGTCATGCTTTTTATTTTGTGTGTACAACCATTTGACAAATATATGTTTTCCGCAGCAATTACAGTGTTTTAGCTACCTTCAAATCCCAATAAACAATGTATTCCGGATGATGTGTTCAAATGGAGTAAAATCAATTCCAGCAAAGACGTTGTTGAAAAAACATCTTCAGTTGGTATCGAACCCAAGACCGGTTTGTCACCCAAGGCGGATGTCTGACGTACGCGTTGTCATGGAAACGTCCAAATGACACTAGTGTATTACTGTTCGCCGTTTCTATTCATGGAATCCTGATTTGTTTTTCACATCTGTCTAATGACATACATGTAAACCTTCCCGTAAGGACTTTAATCATCATCGTGGCGTGAATGTTTCCTCACGAAAAGATGTTTTCGAGTTAATTTCCCTTTCATTCTGAAATGTCTTTTAATATCAAAATTCATTTTGTTCAGCCTTCACATCGATTTTTTTGAAGTCCTCCGGATAAATTGAAAATGCATACAACGGAAATAATAACCACACCAAACGATATTCAGAGGCGTTTCCCGGTCTCTTTAATTGGAATTCTCGTTTTTCTCGAGTCAGCTGTAATATTGTTGGAGGCTAAACGTTTCTCGTTAAGGTCTCTTTCCCGATGCCAGCCCTCGTTTCACTAAGACGCGGAAGAGTCTGAGAAGAAGAAAACAAACTTTTGCCTCCGTCTCCTTAGATGGTCCCGGTCTATAGGCCAAGTATACACAAGGCCATCTTCACATGCAACATAGATGCAACCGAATGTACTGCAAGCTAAAGGGCCCCGAAGGAGAAATAAAGTAATTTTTCAAACGGTATTTGCAAAATGTCCCTTTTAACAAACAATTAACATTTTCCTTTCTAGGAGATCGCTTGCAAGAAGTAGTCGGTAATTTTACTGTACTTCTCTTCCTCTGTGTGTGTCTTAAATAATTACAAGCTTTAATTCCATCAGAAGATGGCATACAAGCCAAAAGTCAGACATGATCCAAGTCACATATATAAAAAAAACAAAAAACAATTTACTACACGCACTTTGAAACATTTGAATTATTCAATTTGTATGTTCGAAATTCGTCGGACAAGGTGTGTGAGTGAAAACAATATACTGCCTTGGTATTGTGTTCCTTGCGTATGAAATCATTTCCTCCATCAGTATTTTACATTTTCTTATATAAACGATCATGGCTCGATTACTTGAACCTCATTTTGTACTCTCGAAGCCAGACAAAAACTCAGACTTGTATTCGATTCACCAAACATCGAGTCCGAGTCAGGCTCCCGAGTCCGAGTCCCGAGTCATGCAGGTCAAGTCCGAGTCACGAGTCACTAGTCACAAAGGTCGAGTCCGAGTCCGAGTCACGAATCACAAAGGTCGAGTCCGAGTCCGAGCCACGAGTCACAAAGTTCGAGTCCGAGTCCGAGCCACGAGTCACAAAGGTCGAGTCCGAGTCCGAGTCACTAGTCACAAAGGTCGAGTCTGAGTCCGAGTCACAAGTCACAAAGGTCGAGTCCGAGTCCGAGCCACGAGTCACAAAGTTCGAGTCCGAGTCCGAGCCACGAGTCACAAGGGTCGAGCCCGAGTCTGAGTCACGAATCACAAAGGTGGAGTCCGAATCCGAGTCACTAGTCACAAAGGTCGAGTCCGAGTCACAAGTCACAAAGGTCGAGTCTGAATCCGAGTCACCTCTAAAATATATTGGAAATAAATATTGAGGTAAGGGCCTACTGCCAAAACCTCACAGTGTAAATGTTTCCATTTTTTCACAGCTTTTCTGGAAACACATGTTTGGCCGTGTCCGAATTACTCGAGTCCGAATCCGAGTCACGGAAAATGGGACTTAAGTCCGAGTCTCGAGTCATACAAGTCTGCAAAACCTGTCAGGCCTGTATACAAGTACAGTATTGATAACCACACACGGCCGATAGACTTGGTAATTATATTGCTTCATATAGGCCGATTATGTTTCTATCCCACTGGCAACCCACAGCATGAAGCCCCACGTGTTGGAACTGATTGCTTCTTCGATCGGAACTGTTGACCAAACAGACGGATATTGAAATAGGTCGTGAAATTCAGAGCAGATAAATATCCCTTTCTATTCTTTGTATTCTTTTCCTGAAAGAAATCCTTCCCTGGGGTCGATGGCAGGCCTCGCAGCGAAGTCTTTAAAAACTTTAAAACCATTTGAAAACTTATATTTCAACTTGGGAGCTTATTTGTTTTTCAAAATTAACCTATATAACCTATAAACAACTTTATTTTGTTTTATTCTGCCCATGGTACATTTTAAATTTTTAAAAGAAACTCAGTTTTCAATATACCTCTCTAAAAACATTTTACAAGCTTGTCAGAATTGGAAAGTTTGCATGAAATTGGTTTTAGACTTTTTCTAGTGATGGAGAACGTGCGATAAGCAATTCTCTATAATTCTGCTACCTCGTGCTGAAAAATTGCACGGTTTTGCATCCTACAAACTTAACCATGCCTGTATTTTGGGGCTTAGAAAACAAAACCCTATATTGTATATTCCAAACCTATTAAACAACCATTTATTGACGAAGAGGAGTACTGTGAGGCATGTGATTGGTTCACACATAAATATGAGCCTTAATCGCCAAGTTGTAGGGATGGAAATCTGCTGATTATAATCATGATATTATCATGATTATAATCAGCAGATTTCCATCCCTACAACTTGGCGATTATGATTATAATCACAAAGTCGGAATCCAGCAACTGTATATTGCCGAAAGGATATCAAACACAACGAGACGGTCCTATTGAAACGAGCAATTGTTAGTAGTGCGTTTTAATTTTAAGACTGCATGATCATTTCTATAATCGAATATCATTCTGAAATCACTCAGGGCTCAGGCTACAATGTTGCGTTGCCTGGTGTTTCTGGAATTTCAACCACTTAAGGGCCTAGTCCAATGTGCCCATTGTCGATCCATGATATACCAATCAGATTCATCCCGCTTCCAGACGATTGATTGAAATGCAAGGGAGGGAGCGGTGGATTTTGAATGGGTACGAAATCAATTCCCGTAAAACCATTTCATGCACTTACTCCCATTATCTGCAGTGCTCTCATGCAGAAAACACCGTCGTCCCATAATACCAAGTCTGGAGCCATAAATCAGAAAAATGACATTTAAAAAATGACTGGTCGCTTGACATAGATTTCATTTTGTTTTCCTACACTTATATTCATGGACATATATACGATTGTGCTTAAGTGTTTTGAGTGTTTGGGACTTTTTGCTCGTGTCAGATAATAAAAAAGCAGCTTGGTATAAAAAAAAAGAAAAAGAACCACACTCAATAGCGAGCTTGAAAAAAAAAATTAAATGCAGGAAATAGCTTTGAACTTCTGTGAAATATCGGCAATTGTCTTGGGATACTTGCTATTGAAATTATTTTGCTTTAATTCTTACCACACCCCAAATCCTGCCGATAATTTGAAATCAATTGTTCTAAAAAATAACCAGGAACAAGGTTCAGAAGTACATGAGACTGAAGTCAATTATACTCATGCATATGACATGACGCCACGTATATTTTTGATTGACGTATATAAAGCTCCACTAATATCGAACAACAAGAAGGTTGAAAGATGTCATATCGTTGCCATATTCGCTTACGAAAACACCTGTCATTGTCATTTTTGTAAGAGTGGTCCAGCAGAAAAAGCAAACTATAGGGCTTAAACTTATGAGCGTGAATCTGCACTGAATATACAACTATATATTTTATTCTTTGAGAGAAATTATGCGGCACTGACTACATGTCAGGCGTTTAATATTGTCTCAGGTTTTTCTTTACCAGATACGAAGAACTTTCATTAATTCCGCCGTTTTTTATTAAATAACGAAATAAAAACAAGGGCATTCCCGGCAAAAGGACGACGCAAATTCAATTGCCGACGCCAGGCACACACAGAGGAAAAACAAGGTGGTTTCAGTGCACATCACAATTTGCACTAAATTGCAATAAAACGTGCATTCCTATCTTCAATTTGTTTTATAGCACTGGAAAAATAGGTCCCTAAATGAACTGTAGGAATAAGCAAATGTACACGAATCTAGCGATGAATCAAGCGATTTTGATTGATACCATTGATAGGTAAAATACCTAACGGTAAGGTTGTAAAGAGAAAAGGCCGGTTTCAATTGATGCTCTTCAGTCTGCAGTACTACTTATAAAAGAATATTTCCGTGGGAGGGTATTATAAGGCCTGTAATTATTTTGGAGAAATGCAATGCTCACTTTTCAGGGCAGGACTTTTAAAAAATTTAGGCAATTTGACTTTTTTTTTTTACCAAAGTGTCGGTAAATATTTTTTTATAGGAAAATATGAGGCAATTAATTTTTCATCTTATTAATTGACACTTTAAACTTTGAGATATCTTTGACTTTCATTGTACTCACCCAAAATGACGAAACCCGTGTTCCTTATCGTATAGATGGTCTTGAATCTCTTAGGATGGACGATCAGCACATAGCGATTCAGGCTGATGGCTGCCAAGGACATGACAGAAGCGATGAAGAAAGTCATGTTGGCGAAGCCCAATACCACACACAGTTCATTGGAGTAAAAACGAGCGCCATTCAGGATAGTGAAAATAGTAATGGGCATGTTAACCAAGGACACCAAAATGTCAGCACTGCTCAGGCACAGCACCAAGGCGTTAGAAGTGGTACGGAGGGTTTTGTTGCGAATTATCACGCACCACAGAAGGACATTGCCTGAGAATGCCACGATGGATATCACGCTCAGCAGGAGAGCCTCGATGATTTTCTCAGCTGTGGAGATGTCGTCGTAGTCTGGAGAGTCTGTCACGGTGATTGTCACAGTCCCTGTGACATTGTGTGTGACAGTATCTGTCACAGTGTCTGTCCACGGTGACGCGGATGACAATGTGCCATTGTCATGTAATCCCGCGTTGGCCGAGAGGTACAAATTGAAGTCTGTTGTGTTCGACATTTTGGCTGATAAAGCTCGCCAAATCACCGGAATGGTACCAAAGATGTTGTATCTGTTCACGGTTATGCAGACATCATGACTTGATCATGCTTCTGGGGTGTTTGACCCAAACAATGACCTTAGTGAACTCAAGTCCACGCAACCATTCCATCATTACCCAATGACCGCAAAGCTCTAAATTAAATCGGCAGTATTGCAATTTAGTTTACTGTCGACAAAAACAATCCTCTGCAGATCCACGTCAGGATCTAACGAGAAGGCATCGGGCCAAATCAAATAATCCTTCCCTCCGCTATACCACACAGTGACTGAGCTTGATTAAAGTTTCCACCAAATTTGGTAAAAAGCTCTCGCGAAGGTTGACCATACTGTGTTCAGCACGCGCGATCAATGCCGTATAATTTCCGCGGTAAAATCCAGCTGACCTGCCGAGTCCCCAGCGAAACTGTGAAATGTGCGGGTTGCCCAAAGTGCGACCAGTAAATACTTCAAGCCAGTGAGTTCAAATTCTGTTTGAAGTGACAGGAAAGCTCGGTGTTTGATCATCGAGACCGGACATGGTGCCCACAGCTTTCCCGCCCGACTGCAAACCACCTGCACAACATCCACGCGGCGCGACAACTAAGTCAATTTTTTTGATGTCACTGGTGCGGATGCTTGGCCAACACAACGGCTATTTCATGTCTGTTAAACTAGATCAAAGATGACACTCAACAGGTGCTGTTAAATAGCTATCGTGTTCGCTGCTCCCTTGATCTGACATTTCAAAACGTGTGTATTCCGCTACGCTAAACTGGTAACTGTATACACGTCCACATCGGCTGACTATTTTTTCATGTTCTCTGGGGAGCTTGCGCGTGAGCATACATGTTCTAGTGACGTCTTTTGAAAGGTTTCAGAAGACGCTCATCAAAATAATCTTTACTCGAGTTCAGTTTCCGACTCAAATTTCATGATGATAGGCTTCCGCCCAGTGCGGCGGGAGCAGGTAGTTTATTTGTTATATTGGATGGTGAATTTGGAGGGGAAAAACATGTTCAAATACAGGCTCCTTAATTTGGCTCAAAGGTCCAAAACAATCAAATTTAAGATTGAACTGAGACCGTTACCTTTACTTGATGGTACTAGAAAATTTACTGCATTTTGTTTTGTGAACGACTGTTTGATGATTGGGAGTTTGCTATAAACAAATGTCAATACACCTGTGTATTGTAGTTGACGAGGTGTGGGGCTTGATACTTGTGGGCGATGTTGCGCCGAACAGACATACATGGTGGGTTCACAAAATCCTATCTTCCTGTATTTTTGTAGATTGTTGGGTTTTTGTTTCAGGGTGTTTCCGTTGCTCATTATGACTGAATGACTCGGTTTCTCGGTAACACCCGAGCATTGCCCTATACATTATCTGATTTAGGCCGCAGGTGCATGTGGTAAATGGTTAATTGCACAGTAGTTGACAAACATGTTTCGCAAATTTATCGAGTGATGTTAATATTAGTTAAATTTGATAACTTTAATTTTTCATTTCAAGATCAATTTGATATTGTTACGGTAATTTCGGAAATTGTTTTCAAAGCCGGGTGCTTTCTTCAGAGGTAAGACAATTGTATTTGGACATGACAGAAACAAAAAAGGATAAAACTGAGAAATGATACCCATTAACCATTGCCTGAGAGGTAACAATGATAAACCTGAATAATTTCTGAGACGGCCTTCATCTTTGTTAGGTCTCCATGGTAACATAGGGACTTGATTAGACAGATGTCTTGGTGTACAGCTGCCTCAGACAGGGTAGCCTTTAATCAAGGCGCGCGTGGCTGTCAGGGCACGTGGGGCCCAGGATGCTAGCACTAAAAAAAAAACCAGTGTGGGTGGCGAAGCCACGAGCGCCTTTACTATCTCGTGGAACTAATCCCTTATTCAATTATTCAAGTAATATAAATCATGCATATTTAGAGATGTATTTTAACCAGTCTGACGGTGGTTTGCTTCGCCACTCGCACTGATCTTTTTTCTTCTTCTAGTATCCGGGGCACCACACGTCCGGGTAGCCACGTGCGCCTTGACTAAAGTCTACAGACAAGCGGGAAATCGTGTGAAATGGAACAGGATGGATTACAGCATACTTCCCTTCACTCCAACAGACAGGAAACCAGTCAACATCTGTTTCAATGACCACCACCAAATTCATCGGTTAAATCCTTTGTATTATGTCTGTTCAAAGTTGAAGTTCCAAATATCTGTATTTTTTTGTTTTGATTGAATTTCAGACTTTGTGCAGCCGCAATGTGTTCGTGGCTGCCACGTTGATGGTTTGGTTTTCGTTTTGTGTCTTTTTTTATATTGGGGATTGATGTGGTGACTAATTCTTTGAATGTGAAGCGCTGTTTTGAAAAACAGATTAAAGTCATCTTCTCTTAAATTTCAAAATCGTCACGCAGCATGGGTTCAACATTAAACTGTGTTTTAAAGAAAAATATCGAATATAAATTTCTACGACGGCAGTGGTTCTGTATTGCTTGGATAGGTATGAGTGAGCCTTTGTGCATTCGTTTTCAATAAATTTAAATTGCAGAACACTCTCTGCGATAACTGCATCGTGTAAGTTCTGTTTCTGCCTTGTGTTAAAAGGCCGACATTAATGGATCGCTACACGAGAAGAATTCGTGGGAACTTTATCTCAGGAATTGCTTGGGCACTTTTACTAGGAATTCAATTGATTCAACGTAATTATATGTAATTATTTTTCTATTAAATCAAGGGAAAAACCACATAATTTTGTTTAACTTTACATGAAATTTTCTGGGAATTACCCGGAGTATTACATGGCTTCAATTAAGTTGAAATACAAGGAAATTCCGCACAACAAATCCTGCTCAAATTGAAAGTGAAATTCCATAGAAAGGTGTCGGGATTTCTGTTTATTCAATAAACAGATTTTGTAGTCATTTTAAATATTTATTGTTTTTTTCCAAAGAATACCGGGCAAAATCCGATTTCATTTAAATCCCCTCGATACGTCAGAAAATTATTGTGAATTCCATTTGTTGAGTGACCATTGTCTTAATTCCATTTGTTGAGTGACCATTGTCTCAATAATTGTTTGGACAACTGCAAAGAATTCACATATTCAAAACGTCTATAACAAAAGTAACAGCCGACAGTAAGTCTGCTGTATGTCTTGAGATGCATGACAACTTGAAATACGTTTGACTATATTTTAGTGCACGTTGTGATATTGGCAATATATTATATTCATATTTATGCTGCAGCAAAGCAATCTCTTTTCTCCTTGAGATGAAACAAATTCCCGTCGATGCCACATCAACCGGGGCTTAACGACGAATATCATGACCGAGCATATTAATTCCAAACCTGACCATAATTATTGACATACGTGCATTAGATCAGGTAATCACATTGAGTTGTGATCTTCGAAACCAAAAGTTCGTGTCAAGCATGAAGTCCTTTCTCGGCATTGTTCACCGGTTGAGTACAGCCTTCCTGTCACATACGCGCATGCGTGGTGACCATTTCTTTAACAGTGAAAGGCTTCAGCTTTTTGACACTTATTATACTTGCAACTTGGCTTGTTCGTTCTTTTTGGATAGTTATTGACATACACATACTGTACTTATATATGGTCTACATCGAGTCATTTCTATGTCGGTGGTATGTTTGTTATTTATCTGTATGTCTGTCAGTCTGTCAGTCGGTGGTCTGCAGTTGGTCAGCTAGTCATGTGGTCTGTCTACTTGTCTGTTGTTGTCGGTAGTATGTTTATGCATGTGTTTTGTTGGTTAGGGGCGAGGGTTGTATGTCCTCAAGTGCTGGATCTGGTTTACATTTAAGTCGGTCTGGTAATTGCAATGTAGCTTTATTAATTTGTCTTAAACTTATAACTGTAACTTAAAACAACAAAGAAGACCCTCTTCGAGTACCTGTAACGTTTAAGGTCCGTTTCTGCCTTGTATTGCCATAAGACTTCAATTAATGTTTCAAGAATGAATCGCTGCACGAGAAGAATTCGTGGTAACTTTATCTCAAAAATGGATTCGGCAGTTTTACTGGGAATTCAATTGATTTTTTTTATATTAAATCAAGGAAAAACACATTTTTTTTTAAAATTTAACATCTGATATTCCTGGAAATTGCCCGGAGTCTAATACGTGACTTTAACCAATTTATACAAACAAAACAAGGATATACCGCTTAAAATGAATCCTCAGGTCACCAGTGGAATTCAGTACACAGTTCTAGTTATAAGGATTTCTGTTCATTCAATAAACACATACAGTCGTGTACTTTTTAAAGTCATGATGACCAAGCGCAGCATATTCATATACGATTTCCAACCTCACTATTAATTGGTGTACGTGCATTGTACCAGGTATTACTAATTAGTATGTTGACCACATTGAGTTGTGATCTTTAAAACCACAAGTTCTTATTTAGACAGCTCCAATATAAGCCCGCCCCGTGGTGTTATGACCAATCACAGACGTGATTTATGTCCGACATGCGTGCACAAAAGACCGACATGCATACACGCGCGTATGATACGCGCGGCTGATACGCGCGGCTGGTGCATGGTATTGGAGAGGGGCACATGTTAATTGCCCACGTGCGCAGTGGGCGGGGCTTACTGGATCGGTCTCGTTTAATAGTACACCATTCTATTTATTAGTCACATTTATACAACGCCTGAATAAATCCCCGTCATCTGATTGGTGAATTGTAGATCACGTGACATATTATTATTCGGTATAATGCACGGTGCGACCATGCGTTATACCCATGCGTTATACCGTTTCACTTTGCGCTTGTTCCATGACGCGGTATTTGCGTGCAAAATGCATGCTGGTGTGCGCGTTCAGCGTAGCGCGTATTGTTCCAAAGAGCCAGCGCTACAGCGTTGGGTTCAAACATTTTCGTGAAGGGGTAGTTCAACATCTTTAAAATCAAAATAAATTGTAGTTTATAATTTACCAATCAAATGACGAGAATTTATTCAGGTGTTGTATAAAACAAATAACGAATGTTTTACGTTCGTGCGATGGAAAGAATAATTTCATTCGGTGACAGATTGAATGTTCTATTCCACTCGGCTTCGCCTCGTGGAATAGAACATTCAATCTGTCAACTCATGAAATTATTCTTACCATCGCACTCACAAACATTCGTTATTTGTATAACAACACATATCCGTTCAAAAAAAGCCTCGCATGTGTAACTGGGTTAATTTCCTTTTCCAAACCAAAACCTTGGTATACGGAAATGCATTATCTATCTTTAGATAAACCGTGACACACAAACCTTTAAACAAATCCTGCAAAATCATTCTACAAACGATTGACCCCGTTTTCATGTTTCAGCTGTGCAAATATGGAATGTTCTTCACGGCTAGGCTACACTCCAAAAATTGTGTTAGCAATTAAACACGAGCTTGTTATCACTTGGTAAACATGTTTAGAGGCTAAACATTAACGTGTCTTTTTCTAAACATCAATGTTCAATTGCTAAACGCAATCCATCAATACTCTTATTATTCAATATTTAAACGGGAAAGAATTTAGTATCCAGACGTCACTTCTTTGGTTGTGTTCAAGTCTACGGA